AAAGATTGCTGGGAAGGCTTTTCCTTTCTTTTTGATAAGCGAGATTATGGGATGGCGCTGGAGATGCCTTGAATGGGATTAAAACCTGATAAAGTAAAGCCTGGAATCCTTAGGATTGCCCAAGGGTTTTAAGACCTGTCTTTTACTGTCAATGGGGTTTCTGTTGCGATGCCTGGAAAATTGCAGGTTTGTAGCTGGGAAAGGAGAAAGAGCTTAAACAAATGTTAACTGTGTTGAAACTCCTTGATTCTGAGACTCTCCAACCAGATTTAAAGGGTATGGGGTCTTTGTTCTTCTTATGCCCAATAATTTTCTCTGTGTTTCGATTCTGCCTCAGAATCTCTAGAAACAAGTGAAAGAAAGAGTAAAGAAAAGAAAGAGTAAAGGAAAGAAACCTACCATTGGAGTGTGAAGTTAAGTTATTGACATTTTGTGTGTTTTGAGAAACACATATATGTATATTGTATTCGTGACTCTTGTCCCTTCCAAATTCTCTGTGCTTCCTCCAACCCTTCCTAGCCACTGATCTCACTCTCTTGCCTTTCCCTAGAATGTCATCCGGGTGATGTATCCCTTTGATTGGCTTCTTTCACTTAGCAATAGGTTTAGTCTTCCCCTGTGTCTTCTCCCATTTGTCTTGCATGCTGAGTCATGTTGGGGTGCAGGTATTGAATTTTAGGTTAAGGGTTCTGCTGAAGGGGAATTTAAAAACAATTGCTTTCACAGTGTGGTGCAGAAATGGATGAAATATGCCACTGTCCTCGCTACTGCGAGGTGAATGAGCGGTCTGCCACTGGCCCTCAGGCACGATCCGGGTAGAATTTTCTTATGGGTGTATTTCCTCCATTTGCGGAGTTAACAGAAGCCTCTAAATGTTGAACTCTGTTTGTTAGTGAAGACAGCTCTTGCTGTTGAAACACAGGACTGGATTTCTGAGTGGAGCAAGAATGTCCCACTCACAGACCATGTCTGTAAACCAAGGTCATGTATAAGAAACTAGCTTTTTTTTCTTGCTATAGCCTCGGCTTGGAGGGCTGAGTTCTGTCTGGCCTGAAAGGATAAGTTTTCTCTTCATGCTGATAAGTTTTAACTTGTTTTCCTTGGTAAACTTATATAAAAACCCTTGATCTCCTTTGCACTTAACAGTGGGAGAGCAGAGAAGTTTCCAAAAGGCAAAACAGGCACAGAAGCAATCCTTAAAGCTGGTAGGAGGAAATGCTGCGGCATTTAAAGAATTTAATATGTAGTCATGGCCTGTAATAAAGGAGATTAAGGAGCCAGTTGCTGCTGTGCCAATCCTGTTGGGTTTAGGAACAACACCTTTAAATGTTCCCAGTGCAGTGCCGACTGTCACAGCCGGCCGCATGAGCTGTGCAGTTTGTTAACGATGTGCTGTTAGCATTTAGTGGAGCCCTAACTCGGAGGAGCTGGTGGTGACTCAGTGCAGCAAACATCTGACTCATCCTGACAGAGCCTTGCCCATGATGAAGGGCACCACCTGCCAGTGTGGGAGCTGAGGATCGATTTGGGGTCCCTAAAGCATCAACACCAGTGAATTCCAAATTTTTCAAATCATTTGCCACTTTATAATGTTAGAGTGAGCATGCTCTTGTCCTCCAGCAGGACCTTCATAGGGACATCTTCTCTGGATGTCTGCCTAGATGGTACCTTTCCCAGAGTATATTGATATGCAACCCTTGGCTCATGCTGCAGAGGGATTTTTGCATATGTGTGGTATTTTGCATGTCTGTCTGTATGTTTGCATGATCTATCAGGTCCCCATGTGTGTCACAAGCACTTTATCCACCAAGCCATTCCCTCAGCCCTTGAATATTCTGTTTTAAATGGACTTCTGTTAGGTAGTGTAACCAAGGCATGTGGTAATTCCTAGAATAGATCCTTTAAAAATAGAATCCTTATTAACATGTTTGGGACCAGGGCTGGTCTGTCAGTTGTATTAAATTAAGCTCTTATGCCAGGCACTGAGTTAGGCAATGAGGTTATATCAACAAAAGCCTCAGTCTCTAGATTTGAGATGAAGATAGTTGAATATGACAGGCAGCCATAGAAACACATTCAACAACACGAACATAAACACCTAGATATCTCAGTCATAGGCCCTGTGAAGACCTAATGTGTGTTATGTGTCAGAAAAACTTGTTGGGGTCACTAGGTGGAACTATGTGGAAAGAGGTTCTCTAGACAAAGTAAACTACATGATCACTGAAGTATGATGTGCTGTAGTATCTAAAAGTTTATTATTTCTGATTCATGAAAATAGAGGAATGAGGGTTGGTCAGCTGAATGACTGCATCTAACAGAAACTTCACCAGGATGGGGTTGTCTGCACCATTGTTAAAGAACATGTACTTACATGGCAGACGCTAGGAGAGGTTTAATGATTGAACTAGAATAGTGTCTTGGTGGCCCTTATAATTTAGAAGGAATTTTTAGACATCAAAGAAGCTCATTTGGCAGAGAGCAAGATGGAGTTAATAAGCTCTAAACATATTTAAAGGGCAAGATGGTCACTTCTAGAATGAGGAAGAGGAAGATATGATGGAGAAGAACAAAGAACAGAAATGGAAAATGGCTAGAATTTGGAGAGTTAGGTCAAAGTCTGGGGAACGGGAGAGGTCCAGCTGATGCTGGCTTTCTGTTGTTGAGAAGTAGTCACATCTCACAGAGGCTACCGTAAGTAGAAAATTTGTGAAGAGAAGTGTTGTTGTGCGTGCATGCGTGCATGTGTGTGTGTGTGTGTGCGCACACACGTGTGTGTGTGTGTGTGTGTGTATGTGTGTGTATTGGAGAGGTAGTAAGGATAAGGAATTCTCAAGGTTGGACATCCTCATCTGGCCTGTCTTTAGGTCAGATGAAGAGGTCTCATAAATGGCTGGTTGGGAACATTCTTGCACTCCTTAGGAACTCTCAGATATAGGTACTTTGTTTGTCAAAAACAGATCTACCAGAATATGTTTTTCAGTGTAAGTTCTCAGAAGTTCAACATGATGGGCTGTTACTATCTGAGATATCTATTCTTCTAGGTACCCCGAATTTTCATTTTAGTTTTTTTAAGTTTCAGGAATAAAGTAAAAAAAAAAATCTATTTCTAGTCTTGTTTTTTTTTTTCTTTTTCTTCTTGTGGCAGAGAATACTCTAAATCAAGAAGGAATATGTTCCCTAGTATTCCAGTTCCACAGTTTCATTTCTGCCCTCTTTCTGCCCAATTCTCGTAAATGTAACACGATTGTATGTCCGCTAACCTTCTTGGCCATTTTTGTACAGGAGTCTCCTCTGAGCTACACTGCCACTTAGGCTGGACCTGCTCACAAAGTTCATCCTATCTGGCCTTGTTGACTACTGATGTACTTTCTTGGACGGTAGGCGCAAGGAGTGTCATGGGACTCTCACCCTCAGCCACCCTTCCCAACCAGTTGGATGCGATTTTGTCCTAATTTCCTATGGCCTTGGAGTCTTGGGGAAGGTTCAGAGCAATGGTTCTCAGCCTTCCTGATGCTGCAGCCCTTTAATACAGTCTCTCATGCTGCTGTAACCCCCAACTATAAAATTATTTCATTGCTACCTCATAACTTTATTTTTGCATTGTTGTGGATTGGAACACAAACATTTGATATGTAAGATATCTGACATGTGACCCCTGTGAAAGGGTCTTTTGATCTCTCCCCAAAGGGGTTGTGACTCATAGGATGAGAACCATTGGTCTAGTGTATGTAGGTGGCAATGGACAAGGGAAGGGGCTCCACCTACAGAACCATGGAGGAGTCAATAGCCATATTGGATGCAGACCTTCCAGGACGGCTGCTTAAACAGCACCCACACTCCTGCCCACAGTTCCTCACCCACTTCTCTATAAGTCAGCCTAACCAATTAATTTGTTTCTCAGTGTGAACTTGTGTGAAATCTTGCCTCCCTCTGTTTGCCATTGGGAGCAAAGGAGGAGGGGTAGACTTTTGTATCTCCTTAGATAAGGCTGTTGGGCTACAGCCACCTCTTCAGTGAGTGACTCTTTAAAGGTAAAACAGTGGATGGAGACAAGCCAAATGAATTACGGTTGCAAAGCTCGAGTTTTCAGAGCTGGGATTTGAACCTGGCTGATTTCAATACCTTGTTCATCACCTCTACTCTGTTTTTGGTTTCTTGAGACAAGGTTTTTCTATGTAGCTCTGGCTGTCCTGGAATTCACGCTATAGACCAGGCTGGCCTTTACCTCGCTTCCTAATGAGTCATTATGCCTTGCTACCATTACCTTATAGTAACATATTTTTAAAGCATTTTGTTTTAATTTATATTTGTTTAACTTCCCATGTAATTGAAAAAGAAGTGAACCATGGGATATAGCTTATGCCCCATTAATCTTATTTCTTCTGATTTACAATACATGGTTTCATACATGGAAAAATTTCTTTACCTAGATGGATCTAGTATAATATCTACTTGTACTGAGATGACACACCTTTGAAAACATCTACATTTGGCAAGCTTAGTGTGAGGAATCCAAGAAGAGTATGCGGGGAGTTGAGAGACTGGGGAAAGTGATCTAGATATCTAATAGACTCCAGCTGGGTGCCTCTACTTTTCCGGTTCAGGAACAGTGAAAATGAAGAGGAATATAACTACTTTCCCAAAACACAACCTGGAAAACATTTATTTGTATATCTTTGATAGATGGGATTGTAATGTTTCCAATAGCGGTCAATGTTACATTGGTATTTTGCCTCCAAATAGCTTTATATATTTTTGACATACATTTAAACACATACTTTTTTTCAGTTTGGACACAGGTACACCATGAAGCTCCATTGCAATCAAGATAATAATGAATTCATCACTCTTGGAGCATCCATCACCCCACTTTCTACCATTTTGGCGAGCGACAGACTTATTTTTGCCAGGTCCAGTTTGCGTTTTCCAAAGTTTACATAAATGAAACAAGACATACAGGTGTGCATTCTTTTTATACCTGGATTGTTTTTTTTTTTTTTTATCAGAACAATTACTTTGGGATTCATCCAGGTCATAGTACCTTTCCTCTCTTGAGTGATATAAAATTTCTGGGTAAGCCATTTATCCACGCATCCACTGATGGGCATTTAGGATGTTTCCAGCTCCTTAGTGACTAAAGTAGAGGCACAGCAATGCCAGTGCACAGTCTGTAGAGGAGCGCGTTTTCTTCCCTCTTGGGTAAAGGCCTGGGAGTGGAATGAATAGGTGTGTTTAACTCTCTGTGAAGCTGCCAGACTCTTTTCCACAGTGATTATGCAATTTTACATTTCTGTTGACAATTTGTGGGAGTTACAGTTTCTATACATTTTTTTTTCCAGAACTTGCTTTTTCTAGTCTCACCAACTTGAGTCTCTCTGCTAGAGGTATAGTAGTATCCTATTATGGTTTTATATTTTCCTAATGATCAGTGATGTAGAGTCCCTTTCATGTGTTTATTCATCAAGATTAGAAGCTTTTGATTTCAGTGAAATTGAATTTGCGTCAGTATTTTCTTTGAGCAAGATACTTTGATGATATATATATATATATATATATATGCATCTATGTGTATACATATGACACATACATTGACAGTGATTAGGTTTCCCTTTAAATATTACTTCAGTGGCAGCTCAAACACATTGACACATTACAGTGTCCTCATTTTATTCATTTAAAGGTCTGCTCTGATTTCTTCTGTCATCCATTGGCTATTTAGAAATGTCTTCCTTAATTTTCTGACACAAGATTGAGGGGTCCCTGTATCATTCCTGACTACTGATTCCTTATCTAATTATCACTGTGGTCTGATAATACATTTTGTTCAAATTATAAACTCCTGAATTTATGGAGACCTCATCTCCAATGATAACGGTAAATGTCAAGTCAAGACATCCTTAATTTTCTGGCGTTATGTCTCAGTCTAAGCTCTGTGCCATAGGAGCTGAAATGAGTATAGATGAACCTTCTTAGGGAGACCCAAGAGATCTCTCAGCTCTCAAAACGACTCCAAGTAAGAGTGGGTGCACGTAGGGGGTGACGGGAAATTGAGTATCTAGTTCCAAGGCTCCGACAATACAAGACCCCTTCTCTGCCCAGTAGAATTCAATCACATTTTCAAGTTGCCTTTTCCAAATGGTCTAAAAAGAAGCCCTTTATACAAAATCATTAACTTGCGAATGAATGTTCTTGGAAAATATTCTTTCGTTCCAGAGACTATTGGCAGTATTAAGGTTCAGTTCTGGTCTAGAGCTTTGGAACTTGTATCAGCGGGATTTTCATAAGCATGTTTACTAAGCCATGTATTAAATTAATTTTTAAAAATCAATTTGCATCCAATGTAATTTCGCTTGAACTTTCAGCTGTTTGCTTTTTGCTCTGTGCTGACAAGTTCCTGCCACCAGTGGATGTTTTTGCAAATAGGGCAGTCCTCTAACAGCTTTTACTTAATCTGCTTAAGTAAATTGCTAATCATCTTTTAGCAGGGACAAATGCAAAGTCACCATGTGACACATAATTCATAATGTTTTTTAAAAGCAACAACTTGCTCCCCCGCCCCCACCCCCAGCTCGTCAGCCGTCTGGCAGTTTGTTTTCCTGCAATGAATCAGAATCCACATGCTGGGCCATTTGTACCATCTGTTACAGGAGTGTTATGGGGGAGACAACTCTAGACACCTGGTGGGATGACGTGGAAATGTCAGCTCCGGGGTAAACACTAGCTCCAATGAGTGAAAAAAGACCAAGTGGGGGGAGAAGAAGCTGCTGGTAGCCCCAAGAGTAAAACACACCTGTTTCTGAACTTGGCTCAAATGGATGCATACCTCTATGTATATGGAAGTATGTCCACATGCATGTTTGTCGGTATGCCTACAGATATGTTTTGAAGCATGCATGCAGGTACTTATGGAAGCAGATCTACAGGCATGTTTGGAAGTATGTCTGCATGTATGTTTTGAAGTGTGCTTGAATGTATGTATAGAAGTATGTATATATGCAAGTATGCCTACATTTGTGTTTGGCAGTTTGCCTGAATATATATTATTGGTATTCTTGCATATATGTTAATAAGTATGCTTGTACATATGGATGGACGTATGCTTATATGTATATATAGTAGTGTTTCTGTATGTATGGCAATATGCCTGCATGTATGCATGCATGTATGGAAGTATACTTGTTTGAAAGTATCCCTGCATGTATGTTTGAAAATGTGCTTGCCTGCATGCATGGAAGTATATATTCATGAATTGGTGTGGGAGAATTGTCTGTGTTCTGTCAATCATATTTTAATAAAATGCTGATTGGCCAGGCAGGCAGTATAGGCGGGAAAGTCAGACAGGAAGTAGGGGTGGAGCAAAGAGACTGGGAGTATTCTGGAAGCAGAAGCTCCCTCAGCCATTCCTGCGCAGACCACTAAAGAGGCAACATGTAAGCTGTCACACTGAGAAAAGTACTGAGCCGTGTGGCTAACGTAGATAAGGATAATGGGGTAACATAAGTTATAAGAGCTAATAAGTAGCCTGACCTAATGGGCCAATCAGCTTTATAACTTATAGAGATCTCTGTGTGATTGATTTTCTCTGGGACTTGCCGGCTGTGGGGTACTGGGTGGGACAGAAACCCCAACAAGCTGGCCTTCATGCTACAATGAATGTATGGAACCGTGCCCACATGTATTTCTGGAAGTATGTTTGCAAGTGTGTGTTTTTAGAATCAGTGACTTTTCAGGATCTGAGTGATAGATGTGGCTAAGTTCTTGGGAAACGTAAAGGACGTGGAGGTAGTAGGTTCTGGGAAAGACAATTGATATCATTTGCAAAATGTGCCTCCATTTATGTTTTCCAGGAGTGATTTGGAGTGAGATTTTCAAGGACATCTTTGAGGAATGAATACAGCTTTCAATGTGGGCTCAGAAAACTCCTATTTCAGTATGTCGCTCAATCACTTTGGATTCTTTTGTGCTACAGAACTATTAGTGAAAGAACGGCTTAGCATCCACCCCCAACCTCAATTTTTAGAGTAACTGAAACATTCAGAAACATCCAACCAGTTGAAGTCAGTCCATAAATATTTACAGACGTTTGACAAACATGGAACACTTACACGTGATAGACAAGGATTTGAGAGCCTTTTCCCAGTGATGGACTATTGAAGCTGGTTTCCCGCCGCAGCAATTTCCTGGAAAAATAAGAAGAGCTTCCTACTATGTATTTCACTATCAAGATTAAAGTTACACACACACACACACACACACACACACACACACACACACACGCACATACGCACGCACACACACACGCATACACACACCCGGCCCTTCTCACTGATGGTCCACGTAATGTAAAGATGATCATCCAAATTACACTTAATTCTGATTGTGCTTGAGCTCAAAGCTGTGCAGTTGTTAGTGAAGGCAGTCTTCAAGTCCAGATCCTCCATGCACCAAGGATCGGGCTTGTCACCCCACACACTACACGATAATCTCTTTGTTCGTTGGTTCCAGCTGGCTCCACGCCTGACAGCAGGGCCCAGAGAACTTCTGTAGTAGGATGGTGCTAGATGACGTCACCATAATCAATTCCAAAGTCTCGGATGCCGTCTCAAGCATTTCTAACTTCAGATACCAGTAAGCTTGGAAGGGAAGTAAATGTAGTTCATTTTCTTCCCGCGGCTGTGCAGTTTTAATTTTGGCGTACATCTAAAATTGTCTTCTCCACTTTCTCCATCGTTGCTGGCATCTCTCTTAAGAGAGCCTCCATCTTCCTGTCACTGGCTCAGTTCAGGCTGTCACAATTGTCACATGGAGTCCCATGTCACAGCCTCCCAACAGGCTTTTCTCTGTGTTCTGTACTAGGGTCAGCAGGGCAGTTATGACATAGCCATTATGACATAGCCGTTCAGCTTTGCTTTCTCCCGGGCACTCTGAGCTCCTTGCTGTTTTTTTGAATGGAAACTACAGGAGATGGCTTAGAGCTCTTGGCTGTGTCCCTCTTCATATCGACCTCCAGGCCTCTTACCTTAGATGCCTGGCTAAATCTCCAAGCCCTGGTTCCGTGAAGCTTTCTCTGATTGGTCTGAAGCTTTCATGTCTTCTACTTCCATCCTGCTTAGTCTTTGCTTGCTGCCTGTTGTTCTGTGGATACTTCTGAGGGAGGCCCCGAGGAACATTCGTCTGTGCACCCAGAACCTTAGGATGGTGCTTGCATGGGGGAGAAGCTTAATGAGAATATTTTTGAGTTTATTGCTTCTGAATGCCTTCTGAAACTTTCAGGAAACAGTGTATTTTGGAAAAAAAACCCCTTTATGATCTGTGGTATGACTTTGGGCTGGGTTGGAGAGGTACTAAGAGAAATTCAACAAATAGTCTATTTTGTCAACATTAATGCTTCAGAATTGGCACTGCCCCCTCCCATTTTTTTCATGCTCACTGGAACCAAGTCTAAATTGCTACACACCTATGCACAGTTCTGTATCGTGTTCAGAAACCTCCTTGGATAGAGTCATAGACAGGACCCAGATATTAGACATGTCTGTCTGCGATCCTCCCAGAACCTCAATTCTATTCCTTCATTCCCCCCACAAAGATGGGTAGAACCTAGACACTGAAACAAGCCCTGATGCAAAGACATCTTCAGCCATGTTCTCCCTCCTTAGCACCAGGGTGTCTGTCTTCTTCCTCCAGTTTCCGAGTCCCCTTCCCCCATGGGGCTCTGTCTTTCCCCTGGACAGCTGAACATCACACGGCTCATTTCACATCATCCCTTTATTTGGTACTATGATATGAACTCCTAAGTGTCCCGGAAGGCGAACCCAGATGGTGATTTGGTCTTCCACACAGACAGGGGTAGGGTTCCTAGGCCTTCCAGCAGGGGCACCTTCTTCCTTCCCAGTGGGAGGCATTCTTGTTTGTGCTGGCATTCTTGTTTGTGTTTTAGCCTTGGTGAAGTACTTGCATCGTCCTTAAAATGACTTTTTCTCTTCTGCCTTCAGGTTTTTGTAGATCACAGTTCCCTTTTCTAGAACTTCCTTCCCACCTCCCTATCTCCACCATCTACTTCCCACTCCTCTCTCAGTTCTTCACTTAGACATTCTCTCTTCTACAAGAGTTTTTTTATTCTTCAAATTGAGTTGACATCCTTCTCAGAAGTCACGAAGTCACAGAAGCTCAGAATGCGCGCACCATGCTTATCTTCCTCAACACGCAGACACCTACTGGGGCCAGACTAGTTATTAATTACTATACTCCCACTTTCTAACACTGTCTGGGCACAGAACGTGCTAACACTGCCTGGGCTATAGTAAAATGTGTTCACCTGTCGACCACACGGAGATTGTCATGACCGAGCCGTAGACATGTATGAGGCAATGTATGCAGACTCTGGAGCTCTGCTCAGACAAAACTCGTCATCACCGGCACAGTCTGGACATTTGTTTCGACCCAGTTACTTAGAGTATTTAAAACCGCTCAACTGCTCCCATTCAGATCTCTATCTATCATTTATGAAGGTGAAAGAGTCAGGTCTAATTAGGAGTGGAGAGGTCTACAGCCCTGCCCTATACAAATGAAGGGTGCATTGTCCTGGGCCCTGCCAATTAAAATACTGGTAATGAAGAAGTGGAACCAGGAGGGAGTCCATGCATCACCTCTAGCCTGAAACAAACTACAAACTGAAAACAAAAGACATCGTTTCAGCAGAAAAGATGCTGACCTTGAATTGGAAAAAGTCATGAGAAAGTTTGTGTAGACAGAGAAATAATGTTTACCTTCCTGCCCTTTGGTAATTGTTGAGGGCAAAATTTACATATGACTCCAGTCCATGTACAGATGACCTCACCCCAAAGGCGTTGAAAGTCAGCCTTCAGCAGGGACACTTGACCTCCAGGCCCAGTTGCAGGTTGAGGGGCTGGTGTGAGTCATGCAACATTTCTGGAGCATCAGTGAGACGCCATAGAAAAGGAACACACATGCACACAGGCAGAGAAACAACTACTTAGAAAGTAGAAAGTGTCTACTACACACATAAGTCTCGTATTCTGCAAACTACGACTTGGACCAGGGAGATGGCTCAGTGGGGAAAATAGTGCTACGGAAGCCTGAGACTGCAATCTGGATCCCCGGAACTCATGTGTAGAGAGCTGCGTGGAGCCGCACCTTTAAGATGGCGCCGGCTGCCGCCCTCCGCGTATAAGTGGACCTATGGACAGTGCCCACGTAGCGATCCAGGGTTGGCTGCCTGAGGCTATTTAAAGGCTGGGAGAGGCTTGGCTGGGGAGAGAAACAAGAAAGAAACGATTGTAACAAGTTCCTGAGTAAAACTGCCTGCAAGAAGAGCTCCGGTGTTGCATCTTCCTTGCTGGTCGAGGCGGTCGCGACACTCATGCAAAGGTGGATGGAGAGAATCTAAGCCACAAAATGGTCTTGACTTACACGCGCATCCCCTTCTCTATCCCCCAGTTCTCACAAGGACACACATGTGTGACAATAAACACGTAAAGCTATTTGACCAAACTCTGCACCCACTGTAATGTTAGAGAAAAAAGTTCATCTCTCTAGAGGTGAAGGAAAATATCCCCGACTATTCTAACGTTTTAATAGTTGGTAAGAGAACCTATGGAAGCAGTGCTTGGTGAAGCCTCCCTGTTCTCTGTGGGGATGGTCATCGGCCAGTTTGCTGTTATTATTTCGTTGTGTGTATTTCTTGCTGCTTCAGTATTACCAGTCCCTGGTTCATTCACTCAGCACTTCTTGAGAAAGTAAATTCCATTCTATTCTGTAACTTCTGTGAGGAAGGAGTTGCCTGGGATGGGAATGATCTCTTACCAAGAGACAAAAGTACACACAAATAATCCCAGTTCAGCAACGGGGCAGCTGGAGTGAGCACGGCTGGGGGCAGTGGTAGGGTTTGTGGAGAACATCGATGTCAGAGGAAAGGGAGTGAGTGAAATGGAGGAACGTGAGGGCGCATGCGCATGGATGTTAGGTAAGAGGGAGGCTCTGTAAGGGGAGGAAATCAAGATGGCAGAGAGAGATTGCAGCCTTCTACGACTGGGAGAGTTAGCCTGTGGGAACAAGTTTTCTGGTCAGTAAGGACTTGATTTCTGCATATTCTGTGACCAGCGTGTGGCGTTTTCAGCTGTAGGGTCTACCATTAAGTTCTGGTGGACAATAGAGAGCAATGGCAATTGTCTATATTGTTTTGAGTGGCCTCTTGGGGTACCTCTGACCAATAACTTGTGGGAAGGTATCCCACACCTGGCACCGGGTGTTGGGTAGTACATGCTTTTGTTTTTGTTTTTGTTTGGGATGAGCTTAATCTCCTGTGTAGGGTAACTCCAATTGAACTCATATCTATACGAAACTTATAAAATGTTAGGTTTCTATATAGTCTTTTCGAGATTCCTTAGATGTTGTTACCCCGATACCACCCTCTCCTTTGTCCTCTCCTCCTACCCTTGTCTCCACTTAAACTCATTCTCATTTCCTATTTTTCTTTACAAGCATAAATTTCATGATGGTAGAAGCATTGTTTTGTTAGCAAGGATGGCGTACAGTGCGTGGGGAATGTGCAGAGTGCGTGGGATGCGCACAGCGCATGGGGATGTCACTCTCTAGTTCTCAGTGAACACATGGCTAAAATGTCAACACTCTCAGGGTTCTGGGTATGTGCTTGCTGAAAGAAGACCTCATTCTGGGGGCAGCATTTCTGAGCACTTAGGGTTACAGATGGCTGTTGCTTCTTCACTTTTTCAAACCAGGTCACTGCCGTAGGTTGGGAGCTGCTGTGCAGCACGGTGAGTGATGTGTGAGAGGCATGGCATCTAGAGTGTTCTCTAAGAGGAAGGGTTGGAGGCCATGGTTACTTCTTGAGGCAGGACAGAAATTACAGATGAACCAGTCATAAGATACAGAACAGGTTCTCAGAAGAGAGAGCCACTGAGCCCTGGAGCGGGGAGCTGGTGGGAGTCCCCAGGGTGAGGATCGTGCTTGTGGCAGACTGTGGCTAAGCATGACTTTGGAGTCTTGGTTCTTATGAAAACAGGAAGCAATAAACAAACAAGCAAGCAACAACAACAATCACGCCCCCTCCCTGAGAATCCAGTCAATTATACCCCTAAAATCTTTTGAGAGAAACATAATTCCATTATGTGAATGTAAAATGGCCTTCTGCTTTTTCCTAGGTTCCCCCAAAGGCAACGTCCAGTAGTGAGATTCTGCTATCCAAAACTCCCGTGTGCTCAGACTTCTCCTTTGGGCATCCCCTCACCTTCATACTGAAACGAAGAGAAGACCATAAGGCAATTTTCCTTGTAGGAAGACAATGTCAGCAAGTGCTGCCGGCGACCTGCCTACATGCTCTCTTGACCCAGGATGCTCGCAACACCTGCCCCTCACCAGGGCAGGTCTACACAGAGGCTGTGGCTGGCAGAGGTCATGGTTACTGCAAACATAGTTTCTCTTTTCACAAACAAAGCTGTTTATTTGCTTTCAGTTTTTAGATCCAGTCTTATTAGGCAGAGATCCTAGGGTCTCTTGGGGACAGTTTTCGGACACTGGAGACATGGGAAGTTAGGTAATGGAAGTGAGGATGAGTGAGAGGAGCTCACAAATCCTTCTTTACAGGGGCCTGGCATCCTCTATGGCCTTTCATGCTCATTCTGAAAACAGGTTAGCAACCAGAAACAGCATAAACTAAGAAGAAGAAAAAAGAAAGAGTGAAATATCTTAAAAATAAAAGGGGGCAGTGGTTTAAGTGGGATTTGAGCTTTCCAAAGAGGGCATAGGGCTAGCTGAAAATGAAGGCT